GAACGTGTACCATTTGAATGGACATGGACGTATACACCGTTGAAATCGGTGCGCATGGCGTTTCGAAGCCCATCAACAACCGGCTCCAAAGCTCGTTCCTACGGTTCTGTTTAGTGAGAACATCAGTAGCGTCTGGGTTATTTGCTTACGAGCTGCTTTGTCGGGGTGAAGTAGAACGTCCGAAATGACTTGATAAAATAAAATATAGATGAGCCGAATGCCGCCCGTAGACCGTCAACATGTCTCCGAAGAAGCCGAACGTCGGCGTCCACTACAGATGAATCAATGCGTAAGAGAGTTGTGTCTCATGAGAAAACCTTACTGGAAGCGAAGAATAGGATCACCCTTTTAGAATGTCAGGCGAGCGGGAAATATCGATGACAAACTGCACTTCACTGACGAGGGTTGAACGCTGGGGCGACAATTCGTCGAGGAAGGTGGTCGCCAGACGAAGACTGTTCGATTGAGGGCAGTGAAAGGATGGTCGGGTCGAGCAAGGCTGTCTGCGAGCCTCATGATGATGGTTACACAGAGGCAGCCGGCAGGCCGATTACAGATGTGGACCAAGCTTGCTTCGTCGAAGAGCGCTTTTGCAAAGACTGCGGCGACAGTCTGCCTATGTAGGGTTTGCTAGCGCTCTTCGTCCAACACGGCTTCGTGACCGATGACAAGTCATCGGCGGCAGCAGATGTCCGACTTTTGTCAAGTACCGCTCTTCGTGCATGAAGCGTTGGCGGACGAAGTACTCCGTGTGTAATGAATTGTGGTGATGGAGGTGGATCAAGCGCATCGACCACGCTCCAGGGCGTATGAATCCCGCGGGAAATTCGCTTCGGGCCGCGCCGCCCCGGGATCGACGCCTCTTCACCCACCGCACCGCACCTCACCTTCACCTCGCCTAGTCTTCCACCGAACGGGACTTGAGAACTCTCCGGCTGCGGTCTTGCCACTCTCTTCCTAGGAATCAGAGATGAGACGATACCTTTTGATCTCTACTTGACTCTCCTTCGCGGACGAACTTGTGATTCTATAGCTCATAGTCAGCTTCAGATTTCCCCCATCTGTGGCGGTGACCCCCAACCCCCTTCTCCCTGCACTGGTACCGCCCGGATAGCAGTATGTCAAGAGTCCCAGCGGGCTGGCGCGTTCCCATGGGCTGGTATAGTCCAGCCTCAAGGGAACAGTAGGCACCGCGATTTGACGCCGATGTGCATGTCGACCTTGATCACACCCCTTCCGGAGCCAATCCATGATTACGATGGTCTTTCTAGGCAATCATGGGATTGGTCCGTATGGCATACCGCGCTATGTATAACTACTGGTGTGCACGCCCTAGCGCGACTTATCAACGCGTCTAGGGCGTCTTGCCCGCCACTGATATGACCAACTACGACGACCCTACGCTCATCGCTACTGAGACAGGCAAGTCTAGCGTTGAACGGTGACCACTGTGATCGCTTGCTGACATCATTTTTAGTTAACGTCACAAAGTCGCTACATGTCTTGGCGGGGCTCATAACGTACGAGTTTTCCTGAAGTATACCTTGACCAACTCATCATGCTTTGCCGACAGATGGGAGTTTCTCAATTTCGTGGACTTCGATTGGAGTATGATAGTGGGGAAGCGCCCAAGGAAGTGGACTTTCTGGGTGCGCTCCACGTCCTCCTATATAGCCGGATGTCACAGTTGACTGTGAATAGGTGTACATGGGCTGTCGCGTATTTCCGCTAATCGAAGCGGCATTCACTCTCCGCGCATTGGACCATAGGCCAGCCGTGAACTGCTTAGTGTGTACCTCCTGGTATCTCCTTTTCAGTAGTCGCTAACGAGTGGCACAGCACCTGCATCGGGCTGCATGGGTGCGTTGCCTACGATTCGTTTCCTCGTTGAGAGAGCATTGAGCTTCGCCAGGCCTTTGGAACGGCTACATTCATCTGCTCTTCCCTAATCATTCTTATGCGATTGTGAGTCTTCCACATTCGCGATCCGGCGCCATCACGTCTGAGCTTTCTAGGTTCGCTGTATGGAGACAGAGTGTCCCGATCAGGGTTCTCGCGACCGCTGTCTGGGTTACGAATATACCTTTAGCTGCAATCAGTGAGTACTCTCTCTGCGGTCTTCCTTTCATCTCCCTCCAGCCTTCTTGTATCATGTGTGCTGACCCATGATAGATATTCCGAAGGTTCGTCGGAAGTTGCCCACCATTCCTAGCATCGACTCAATGGCATGTCTAGCTGCAAGCGCTTCCTGATCCTTTCACAAGGACATCCTGCATCGTACCCAACGCTCAAGTGATGTTGGTCAACTTTGTATTCTTCTTGGGCACTGAGGTTTCGCTGTCCTTTGTCACCCTATATGGACTTTGGCGGTTGCGCGATGTTGCCCGGGGAAACATTTGGAGGCTCATGTACAGACAGGTATATTCACTCATGGTGCATATGGACCCTATGTAAGCTCAATCTCCCCCTCTTTTGTAGGGTTGGCTGTGGCCCATGCTAGCCATATCTATGCAGACCCCTACGGTGGTGAGTGCTATACTCCTTGCATGCTCTCGCTGGTGCTAACTCCCTTTTAGGTCATATTGGCGTTGAATCTGAATGGTGTGTTATTCGCCGCTCCTTTGTGCTGCAGTAACCAACGACGCTGCTCAGGTGCCTTAAACATCGTGAGCTTTTGTTGCCCTCAGAACCATGACCCAGGACTATGTACTTATTGGGTGTCGACTACTAGGCTCCATTGACCCCTGGCAGTGAGTATCTGCATGGTTCAACAAACGTGAGATGATTCTGACGGTAGCTGGCGTTCAGTGAACATAATGTGAGCATAGCCAGAAGGATGTCTCCCTATCAGCGAGCTAATTGTGTACATCAATCACAGGGCAATTGCAGCGGGAAGGTTGTATCGCTCTCTGATTCTCACTGCAACAGAAGCTACAGTTCGAGCGTACGTTCTCTTCGGTATACCCGACTGGATGGTTCCTGAACATACACCCTCGTAGGAGTGCGCCCCGCTCAGGGGGCCGTGGGAAACTCAGTACCTTAGCATCCCTCACACAGAGCCGCACATTGACAGACCCTAAGGCACACGAAGAGTCAATTCAACTCCAAGTCCTTGCTCATCGCAGCGTAGTAGTGGCCTGAGGCGAGTCGTGAAGCGCTATATTATCTTGCCTCTCCATATCTTATGATATTTCTAGTCATCGTCCTCCCCGATCGAGCATGAAATGTGGTGGATCTCGAAGCAAAGACGCTCGGTCGCTGATGCGCGCCGACAGGTGTGGCGTGCGATCTGGGTTAGGGTTGACGCGCCTCCGGGCGGCGAAGCTCAATTTGCGTCTTGATCTCAACGACGATGATGCCAGCGTGCACCTGAAACGATCCGTTTGCGCATTACCACGCTATTTCCACTTAGATACTGGGCCCCGCTCAATGGCAGCTCTAGTTAAGGTGTGATGAGTCCGCTGTTGGTACGGTGCAAATGGCTTTGAATCGCCCTTCGGGCTTACGAGGCAAGATCTCCTCCGGCATATTGGCCGACCCTCAGTACTCAGTCCTTCCTTGCTTTGTGCTTAGTAGCTGCCCCGGCCTTCGACGTCTACCGAGCGAAATCCCGGTGTTAATAAGATCCTCTCAACAGCCACCATCTTCTCTAGGGTTATCTTTCTCGCCCGCGCGCCGAACTATATACTCACGTTCTTTCGGCAACTGTGATCCCTATACAGAACCCTTACATATAATCCGAGCGTTTCTCAGGCTACGCTCATGCTGACGGTGCCTGGCAGTGCTGTTTGCCCTGTCAACACCAGCGGTTTCATCTATCAGATGTCTGCTTACTTCTGCAGGGCCCCTATAGAGTGAGCATGGTAGCGGGTTTTGACGGCGCAGTGCCTTATCGGCAGGTGCAGTTTACCGAAATACATAGTCTTGACGAGCGCGCCATCAACCTCATTCTTAGGAGCTAAGGATACAAGACACCGTCTAGGGTCATTCGAACCCCACCGTCCTTACTCTTCATACCAGTCGGAGTATGCTGTCTCTTCTGCTTGTTCTGTTTGGCGTAGCGTCCGGGTCGCGCGCGGATTCGAACCTGTCTGCGTATGCAGACTTCAACTCGTCAACCGGCGGTAGACTCGTCTTCGGGACGCCTTTCGCACGAGCGTGTTTCGAGAATGCGGGTCCAGGAGTCAGAGAGATGTATGATGCTGCATCATGCTCTGGCGTTCAAAGTGACTACACGGACGAAGGTGAGCTACGACATGTACTTCGTAAGCTCATAATGTACTTACACCATATGCAGCTACCCGTATAGACTCGCTTGGCGCGTACATCAACGTGAGTGCTGCTGATCATTCTACGGCATGTGCCAAACTGACCTCCTTCTTCAAGACACAATGGGAGACTTGTCAAAAGACTGGTGAACAGTGCCTTCTGGATGCGACAGATCCTACGAACGCTCTTGCCTATTCACCTCCTGCAGTCTGCAGTCAGGGCAGTGTGCCGCCCGTTGGAGTGCGTTGATCTGTGAAGCTTCTTACGCGTTCGTGGTTGACTGAATCACACTGTAGCTTGAAATCGCCTCGGCAAACGATGTTGTTCTGGCGTTCAACTTCGCAAGGAACCGTAGTCTCAAGGTCGTTGTCAAGAATACTGGAGTTAGTCCGACCCTGCACGCTATGCATGAATGTGTCTGAAGCCTGCGATTGGTTTAGCACGACTACAAGGGCCGAAGCAGTGGCCCCGATACCCTTGCTCTTTGGGTGAGCCGCCTTGGTTTCGTGCCGGATGATCTTACCAATTGACATACACCAACAGACACGCGGCTTACAAGGGGTAGGACTGGCTATCATAGCATTGGTTTGTAGGGAACTGAAGAGAGTCGTCTCAGATCTCCATCAACGAGGCGTTCGTTCCGCAAGGTTGTCCAACGTCCACCACGCCAGTGATAGGTGTCACCATGGGGGTGAGTCAGCCTGACAGCTTTGTATCGCCATGTATCCCGACTTTCAGCTGACTACTCTCTTCCGACTAGGCAGGTGTGACAGCGGATGTTGCGGTCGCTTTCGCGGAAGCGAACAACATCACCATCCCTACTGGCGCAGACCCAACCGTCGGGCTTGTGGGTGGGTACACCCAAGGGGGTGGACATAGCAAGACCTCGAATACGATGGGCCTCGCGGTGGACCGTGTGATCGAGTTCAACGTCGTTACATCGAGTGGCGAGCACCTCGTAGCCAATGCATGCCAGAACGCGGACCTCTTCTTCGCTCTTCGAGGAGGAGGAGGAGGAACCTTCGGAGTCGTGCTCAATCTGACAACGCGCGCTCTTCCCGCAACGGCTGTGTCTGCGTGAGTGGTCAGTGCGGTCTTGCACATAGCCCTGCTGACGGAGCGATTGGTGTACTCACAGTGCCGTCGTCGAGGTCACGCCCACTCCATCCAATGTCGCCGCACTGCTCGACTTCATGGTCAACAATTCGCTTCAACTCGCTCAAGACGGTTGGGGTGGCGCATTTGCACCTACGCAAGGTCTCCTCTCGTATGCCAACCCGCTGCTGAATGAGACTGCCGCAAAGGAGAGCGTCGCTTCTCTGCAAGCTCTTGCGACCTCCCTCGGCGGCATCTTCATCTACGAGTACCTCCCGACCTACGGCGCGTACTTCAGCACCTTTGGTATTGATCCCGTTCCTACTGCTGTACCTGTCGCGCAGAGCTCGCGCCTGGTTCCATCCTCTCTGTTTGAGACGGAAGATGGCCGAGCGAAGTTGCTTTCTGCGCTGACTGAAGGATTTACCGCTCTGCCTTCCAGCGCCATCTTTGCCAATACGCCGTTCCTTGCCAAAGACCCAGGCGGGACGAGCGTGCACTCTGCTTGGCGTGATAGCTTGTGGCACGTCGTGCTCTCGGCGGGATGGAGCTTCAACTCTTCGCTCGCTCAAAGAGAAGCCGTGTATCAGTCTCTCGAAGACGGCATCGCACCGTTGCGCGCCATCACCCCTGATGCTGCATATACCGTACGTGCATCGGTTTCACCTCTTCCACCAGCCATTCGGTGCTCACTCTGCTTGCAGAACGAGGGCGATGTATATGAGCCGAACTGGGAGGAGACCTTCTGGGGATCGAACTACGCCGAACTGCTTTCCATCAAGAACAAGTACGATCCGGACCACCTGCTTGATTGCTGGCAATGCGGTAAGTGGCGGTGGTTCATCTGCGCTTGAAGATATGCATAGGCTGACTGTGCACTCACAGTGGGCTGGCTCGGCCAGTCGGATTCACGTTACAAGTGCTATCTCCCCCCTCCATCCTAATCCATCAAGGACGCGCAGTTTTCGCATTCCTTCGTTCGATGTACATACTACCTATCACAACCTACTTAATGCTTCATTCCAACCTTGCATAGTGCCCGTGCCACTCAGTACACGCACCACCAAAACTGATAGAAGTCTACCATGACCAATTGAGTCAGTAGCACAGCCATCGTCATGCACAGATCCAGATATGTGGCAACGTTCCAGCCGAGTCAGCAAAATACGACGAAAAAGCAAAATAAATATTGAGACCCGTAGGTCTACCACTCTGGAGAAACGTGTCATCCTTGTGCAGGGGCCATGCTAATCTTCTCTGTATCGTTCCAATTTTTTCGTATGCCACCCCGAAGGGGACGAAAGGATTTCTGGAAGAAGTGACGCGGCCCGCTGAAATGTGAGAATCGTGTTCGGCGCGGGTCTGCGATCTCACCGTTAAAGCCGCTTCGCCGCGTTGGTTGAATAAAGGGCCCTCGTCGTATCGAATTGCAACAAATATTGCCGACAGTGGTCCATGACGCAGTGAGCTTGAACCAGAGAGCAGCGCTTCAAATGGGCAATCAGTAGCTTAGCGGGCATCGTTCAGCATTCGCTGCCATGAGCGTAAGACTCGCAACACGCCTGGACTAAAACCAGTCTATTCTCAACAGCGGATAGGTATTTCCGAGCGGCAGCGCCGGGGTATCGTGCGGTACAAGGCATCAGAATCGTCTTTCCGCTACGCTCATCCTGAGGCAGCCGAGCAGCCCGTCGCACTCAGAAACAGTGCAAACCGCTGCAGGAATGATGTTGCATGCAAGACCGGGCGAGGGTGGCGAAGTCGGTACACCCGTAGGGCATCTTGGCCTCTGGGCCCGCGCAAGGGTGGAGTCGGTATAGCACGTTGATGGATCGATTGTCAGCGTAGATTATACCTACAATTGCGAATATGATGAGGAGTAGTGCTTCTGGCGGCGCCCAAGCATCCAAGCATTCAAAGCTGTGCACGCTCAATCAACATGGCGACGTGTTGAGCGCCCATAGGCGCCCATCCGTTGTCGTAGATCCCACCTGATCCAACATGGAAAGAGATGTCCAGTGATACAACAAGCCTCTTTGAGAGCAAGAGCTCAACTAACTACTCGATGTTTTACATCGTGGCCAAGGTGAGAGGAAAGGCGCGCGTCAGCGGAAGGTGCGCCGGAGAGCGATCAATACGAGCGCGCTGCTTTGTCCCTAAACGCGGTGGCGGTGACTACCACGCCTTGTTCGCCTTCCCCTTCGGGCGCCCAGACCCGCGGCTGTCATGTCCGTGTGTCTATACATAAGCTCAACATGGACCTGATCCCTTGCTTTCTTTCTCTCCGCCTTGTGCGATGCTCTTCCCCGCATTCTGCCTGCTCGGTGCTGCGGCACTGCAGGCCACCGCCCTCCGAATTGATGCTCTCGCCCGACGCGCCTCTGATCAGAGCCATGTAATGACTCTGGATAATGACAACGACTTGAAGTACAAGGCGAACATAACTGTTAGCGGCGAGAACTTCGAAGTCCTCATAGACACGGGCAGGTACGCCGTCGTGGTTGCCATTCGCGACATAGGCTCATGGAGTGGAAAATGACAGCTCTGACCTGTGGGTCGCCGGGACGGTCAATGGCGCGAAGGATACCGGGAAGAATGCTGGTGTCGATTACGCTATTGGTGCAGCTGCAGGTCCCGTCAAAACTGCCAAGGTGGAATTTCTCGGATACACCATCGACGACCAGGCGTTCAGTGCGTGTTTATGCCCTCGGCCCTGCCCCGAATGCCCCTGACATTATCCGGCAGTCTCGCAAGCGCCAACACTTCAGAATCCAAACGGACAAGGGATCGTCGGGCTTGGTCCCAACTCAGGCTCTCAAGTGCATGGCGCTATGGGCAACGGTGCTGGAGATGCCATCGTCGACAGGATCTTCCGCCAAAATACCTCTTCGCCGAACATCCTGACCGCTCTCCTCGGTCGCTCAGATGACCCTGATCATCCCTACCCGGGCTCTTTCTCCGTTGGAGAGGTCATCGCCGGCTACGAGAACGTCACGAGCCAACCAAAGCTGAACGTCACATCTGTGTCGAAGGGCAACTCGGGCGGCCAGCACTGGCAGGTTCTCATTGACCCGGATGGTATTCTTGGACCGGACGGACAACCTATCTCCAGTTACGACTCGAAAGTGTCCAGTACCAAGGACAAAAACCAACTCACGGCCATCTTCGACACGGGCTTTTCGCTGCCGCAGGTGCCGAAGTACGTCTGTGGCGAACTATTGCGTCCAATACAGATGCTGATTGATTGCAGATCCATCGCTGACAACATTTACGGTCGCTTTGAGAAAGCAGAGTTCAAGAATGTGTCAACGACTGGTCCTGTATGGACTTTACCGTGCGATACTGAGGTCAACATCACTGTTCGCCTCGGTGGTCAAAGCTACCCGATGCACCCTCACGACACCAACCTCGATCTCGGCTTGAAGAACAGCAACGGCGAGGATATGTGCATTGGCAGCGTATGTTCATCTCTCCGACCGATTGTCTTTTACACTGAACATCGCCACTCTAGTTCCAACCCATAACCTCGGGTACATCCTCGACGTACGACGTTATTCTCGGCATGGCCTTCCTCCGCAACGCGTACCTCCTCATCAACTATGGCGACTTCCGTGATGGTACTACCAACAAGGACGATCCTTATGTCCAGCTTCTCTCTACGACGGACCCGGCAGAGGCACACGAGGACTTCGTACAGACCCGTCTGAACGGTATCGACACAACCGGTGATCAACGTCTGCTCAACTCATCGCAGATCAAGACTTCCTCGGACGATCCTGGCAATGCAGATGACGGCGACAACAACGACAATAGCATCGGTAGTTGGATCTCGAAGCACTACGTCGTGGTAGCGATCGCCGGCGGCAGCGCTGTCGCCGCCCTACTCCTTCTCGCTCTTCTCTGCTACTGGCTTCGCGCCCGTAGGCAAAAGCGTGCCATTCGTGCAGGCTTCGCTCGCGGTGGCGGTGGCGGTGGCGGATACGCGACGCTCGACGCTCCCGCACCAGAGCACGAGACGTTACAGGTCGCCGGATATAACGCTGTCGTTCCGACTCTCGGGTATGGCGGCGCATCGCCCGCACCAAGTCCGCGACCTGGTCACCGCCCGTTACTCAGCGGCACTGAGGCTGCGCGCTCGCATCGCCCGAGCTCGAGCTTCAGCGGCTCGCAGGACTTCTCGGCCGTTGCACGCAATGTTGGCTCGTCCGGCCACAAGCCTATGGATAGCTTGAGCGTCGACCCGCTCTACGACTTGCCGCCAGGGTATAAACGCGATGCGAGCGCGCCTTACTCGCATTCGAGGGGGCAGAGCGAGGTGTCACTCGTTTGGAGTGAGGGCTCTGAGCATGGCGGCGAGAAGCCGTACCACGAGCACGAGGACGACGACAAGACGCCGCTCAACCGCACGTACCCCAATCCCTGGGAGGCTCCGCACTGAGTACGACTCGATTAGGAAGGGGATGGATGTATGTCTTGGGACTCTGCTGCCACGGACTAGTCTTGTTCATTATGCTTTGTTGGGAGTTCAATCACTGCTGCCGCTGTCCAAAGCATCGATGTCGCTCACTATTTATCATCTACTGCTTGTCGCACACCTATCTGCTTGTCACTCGCTATTGCTCACCACACTTACTCGTACATACCGACATACCTGTCAATCACAATATATTTGCTGTATTGATACCTCATATGCATCTGGCTCGGCGCGCCGTGATGAGCGCCGGCTGCGGCAACTTCTCGGATTCGCGCAAGACCGTAAGCGCGCGTCTCTGGTAGCCTTAGCACGGTATGGAGCATCAGCGACGCTGTATGCTTACCGCTTAATCGCTAGCTCAGCGTCTTCACCGACATGTGGCAGGTGTGGCTGGAGGATCCCAGTGCCACAACTTGACCATAGTCTTGGGGAAGCACACTGTCATTGAAACAACGAACGAGCGGCGTCAATTATGCGGACGCGATCAAATATGGCAAAATGTATGTACAGGAATGCCCCATAACGCTGGGTAACGAGCGCAGTAGTAGATGAGCGACAGATAGAAGGGGAAGAGTACGAAGGGTCTATGTGGTGGTGATACTTCACCCGAGGATTCCCGCCAGGTATTCGCGCACAGCCACATACTTCTCCCATCCTCTGCTTCCAGTAAAGCCGCCGACAACGAGCACGAAGTGTGCGAGGCACATAGCGAGAATGAAGCTGATGACTCCTGCGGTCGTATAGTTGCCCTCGCCCTTGTCCTCTTCTTCCTTCGTCTTCGGCAGCTGCAGCGGAGAGTACTTGTCTATGTCAGAGAAACTCTTGGCCTCAGTCGGTGACCGCGGGTCACCGAGATGATGCTCAGCATCGATGGGCGACAACGGAGGCGAGGGCGGCGTGGAAGGCGGCTTGAGCGAAGCAAACAGTCCGTTATTGAACTCAAAGGCTTTGTTGGCTTCTGCGAGAATCATGACTGCGTCACAGTGCGAAAGAGAGGATCAGCATGCGGCTCGCACACGAGGGAGAGTGGGAAGATATGCACCTTTGAGGTCGCGGTCATCGCCCACGCCTGCATTCATTCCCTCGCGGTACCATTCTTTGATCTTCTTCATGTCGCCGATGCTCGCAGATCCTCCCCCGCCAAGCTTCCCAAACTCGTAGAAGGACACTCCGGCGCCATTGTCTTCTTCCAGCCCGTATGCACGGGCTACGCGTCGACGGATGACCTGACCGCCTGAGAGATCGCCCAGGTATCGCACGTAAGCGTGTGCGAGGAGCGGTGCTGGTTCCCTCGAGGCACTGAGAGAGGCTATGCGACCCGCATACGCGGACATGGCAGGCGGTGGCGAGGCAACGGTGGAAGCGAATACCGTGTGCTGCTGCACGTCGGCCAAAGGAACATCAAGGAGATGAGCAATATCTGATAGCAACGCGGGAGCCCTTGATAGCAATGTTGGGTTGTAGGTCGGGGCGAGTACATTGTTAGTCGAGTGACGCTCGAGTGCCTGCTCTAGCGAGCTAGAATCGGGCTTTGTCAGGACAATTGCCACAGATGGACAGAACATGGTGGCTTACTGGTATACATGATACAGCATGATCAGGAAACGCACATACTCTTCGCGGTCGAGCTCGCCGCGCGTGAGCCACCCCGCGCCGCTGCTAGTCTCAGCAGAGTGGTGTGCTTGAGCCGTACCCTGGCGCAACAGGTCGGCGATGGGCAGACTGAGATCGAAAGACGACGATGAAGAGCCCTCGGACATTGTTCAAGCAGTAATTAGAGGTCTAGGGGGTATCCCGGGTATTTCAGGACGGTGGTGGTAGCAGACAAGGCCCGAGTATGAGCCTACGTGGGGCGTCGGCATGGTGTTAAAGAACCAGAACAGGCCGGCTTCAGTCAGGACCGCCGCAGTCTGGGTAATGGCGTGATGGGGTTGCGTTATCGGATAATCTGCTCGTGGCATCTTATCTCAGGCTCCCTAGGCTGGCCGGCGCGAGACCTCCATCTATCCGCCGTAACACAGAATTTGTAATCCGGAACCGTAGCCATTGTGGGTGTGGCACAGTCGACCCAGCGAAGACTCTCGGGCGCTTGAGTAGAAGATCGTCGGCAAAGCCGCCTTGCATCACGGTCGAGTCCGGCGTCTACGATATATTCAGTGCTCCGGCCGGTAGTATGCATCCGCTCAGTTCCCAGCTTCCATCTTTAGGTTAATTAGCTCTTCGCCACCAAGCGAGGTTCCTCAAGGCATGAGCAGAGTCCCAGAATGGTGTATATGGTATAGTGGCATAACAAAGGCATTACATCCGGTCAGTCGTACAAAGCAAGCAAACATTCTCATCGCACGCGTCAAATATTATCGTAACGTTGCATCGGCATAGACACCTAGTGGTGCTCCGCATCGAAGACCGTGTGGTCGACCGCTATATGCTCGCCCGTCTGCGAGGGAATGTAGGCCTCCTGCGGCAAACCTGACTCGTCCAATCCCTCGGCAGCCTCGATGATCTCGTACAACCTGCTCGCAACCTCCGGAGGTGGCACGCGACCGCCAAGGATATCGCGCGCAGGGATGGGAGAACCGTAGAATGCCTTATTAGCGTCTTTGCGCTCAATAAGCACAGTGCCTTCCAATGACAAGCCCGCGTACAGTCCTATGGGCGCTCAGTTGATCAACTCTGCTGACACGATAGACGCTTGAGGTAAACGCACCTTTAGACTTAGAGTACGAGAACATAGGCGCCGGGTGTGCAAGCGCCGCCTCGACGCGTCCGCCAGTACCAATCGGGCCGGCGGCAGCGGAGATTGAGCCTCCGATGGTGACGTTCCCGCCGAGCGAGAAGGCGCGCACGGCGTCGTCGCTGTTTAGCACGACGACGAAATCGGTGATGTCCGCGCCTATCTGGAGACCCCAGCCCACGCCGCCGGTTGCGATGCACGAGGGTGCAGACCACGAGCCATCGGGTAACCGGGCGATGATAAGACCAGAACCAGCTTTGCCGGAGAACATGAAGCCAGCTTTCAACACTTGGAATACGGCGAGTCCTGCACGGACTGTCAGTTACGGGCCATGGATTTCTCTTACATTTAGAACGTACCGCGGGCCCGTTGCAAGACAGCTTTCGGGATCGCGTTCAGTGCTGATTGTGGATTCTCGGGATCAGCTATAGTAAAGTAGTCAGTTTACCATCTCAAGGAGGCATATACAGTAGACCCATACCCAGGAAGCTATCCAAGATCTTGGCCGCCTTCTCTGCCTCTCCAGGTAGCGTGAATCCCTGCACAAACGATTGCGACCCGGTCTGCATGCGGCTAGATCCCTCCTTCGCGAACGCAGTAGCCTGAATAGCCGCCTTCTGCGCTCCCGCTTTGAATTTGTTGAGCATAGACATGATGGATGATGGGGGTAAGAGGGTAAGTCGAGGATCTCTGTACTAGGCTGCGCGGCTGTGTATATGACGTGAACAACTTCTCGCCACGCGGCGGAAAGCCTCGGCCAAGAATCATGAGCCACTGCTTTCCGTTGCTAGATCCTGCCAGAGCTCTTCTGCTGGATGGCGGTCCTTATGAGTGGCCCAGAGTCTACACGACACATATAGACCTGTACAGGACCCTCTGCTTCGGCTCAGCCATCCTCCGACTATGCAGCCACAAGAAGCCACGCGTTAACGACCGCTGTAGGCAAACACGATCACCTGACTTGATTCTATCGCCGAGGTTCTGCCCGTATTTGTCCTGGATGTGATAGCGGCATGAGCCAGAAGATGCTTTAAGCTACTATGTAGACATAGCGAGACATCACACATGAAGAAAAGGTAGACGGGTATACACCAGACAATCGCATTGTGTAACAAACAGGTATGCTAATACAACACGGGTTTTTTGTAGTACACACATCCGAGCAAAGACAGGTACACGTAGAAAGGCCGAGGAGTGAATGAAATAGGCACCAAGTGCCGAGTCTAGCGCCAGGAGTCGTTGGCGGTGTAGGTGCCCGAGGCCGGGGTCGTGATCTGCACATTGGGGTCGGACTCCCAGGTGACGGCGCCTTGGTGGAGATCGCGCATGAGCTTCCAGATCGCTTGGGTATATCGATAAGAACTCACCGTTGTTCTTGCGGATGTACTTGTACTGGACGGAGGTAGATGCCGGCAGGTTGACGGTAACTGTACATGATTATGAGCACGGGTGAGGTGGCAATAGCATATGCAGGATACGCACTAGACCAGGTCGGGTAGTTGGCTGCCGAGAGGAGGAGAGCGTTATCCGGGCTCCAGTTCTGAAGAGCGTCCACGCTACCGGTGATGTAGATGTTCTCGCCGAAGACCTGGTGGGCGCGATAAGCATCTCATGTGTCTGGATATACACAGAAAGACTCACGGTAGTAGCCTGAACGTTGAACGTTACTGCGACGGTGCTGCCACCGCTGCCTCCGCCTCCGCTGCCGCTGCCAGAGGTGGAGCACGTCGCAGGAACGGTGAGGCCCGCAGCGCCCCACGATGCCGGAGTCGTGCCGTTGCGTGCCTCGAAGGTGGTGATGGCCGAAGCGTACGACCAGGTAAGGTCGCTGGCGGAGGTCTGAGCGCCGGTGGATTTGTCGTACTGCTCACTGAGCGCGCCGGAAGAGGGGGTGTACTTCTGGACAACGGAGACAAAGCCGTCGGCGAAGGTCTTCACGGCGGCGGTGAGTGTGGCGTAGGTGGTCGAAGACTTGGCATAGGAGCCAACCGTGATACTCGAGTCGAGCTGCTTCCAGAAAGCCAGGGACACGCTCGTGACGTTGATCGAACCGACCGAGTCCCAGGTGGTGAGCGCATCGTAGAGTTGCTCAGCCGGGGCGAGCGTAGTGAGGTACCAGGGCTGAGAAGGCGTTCAGAATCGCGTCGCATGTAGATGGTAAGGAATCTAACTCACGTTGCCGTTGTAGTAGCTATCCTCCGGGTAACGACCGGTGGCAACAGCGGCAGTCGCAGCGATACCACTGTTGATAGAGTAGATGGAGCGGAAGGCGTCGACGTAGACCTTGAGGTTAGAGAGCGCCTTGTCTGAGCACGGCTGGAACGTAGCAGCGTCGCAGCCGGCCTTGATATCCCAAGTGTGAATGGAGGCGAGGACAGTGTTGGCGTCCTTCCCGCTGCGTCCGCCGCCGGTGTTAGCAGTAATGTAGCCGCTGGTAGGGTTCCAGTAGCTTTGCAGGAAGCACAGCACGTTCGCAGCTTGCGTGGTGTAGGTCGACGCAGAAGTGCTGTCACCGACGAGCGTGGCGAAGGTCGCACCCTCACGAAGAGAGCGGTGCTGGACAGCCGTGGTGAAGAACGAGGACGAGGAAACCTCCTCCCAGAGGTCAAAGGTGGTTTGGTTCCAGTCCGCTGAATATCCGCACTGCGTCAGATGTGCATTTCTACAAACGCCAAACCAACTCTTACCAGCGACGTAGTCAAGGTCAAGCTTGATAACAGGCCAGAGCGTGTTCTTCACGAAAGTCGTGTTGCCTCCGCTGTACAAGTAGTTGCCTATTCGGGATCAGTTATAGCGAGCAACAACATGGACAGTTATGTGCGTACCCCAGGTGATCAGAGCTGTGGCACGAAGAGCAGGGCCATCACGCTGCGGGCGACCCCAGGCACCAGTGAATGCGCTGAAGTCGAGGTTGAACTAAGATTCATGTCGTTCAGCATAGGTATGGCGAAGAGAGACGTCAATCTTACCTTGGGCTCGCCGAGACCGCCAGAAGACACGGAGCCGGAAGGGTTAGAGACCTGCTGGAGGCGAGCCTCCGCGGTGAAGAAGTCGTCGATCTTCTGGCCCGTCGAGGTGTCAATGCCGAGAGTATACTGGTCGATAATCGCCTACAAATATACAATCAGGCAGGTACGAGAAGCGATATCAAGATGTCAATTTACCTTGAAAACAAGACTGCTGTCGCGGGTCCAAGTGTATGCGTAGTCCGGGTTTGACGTTGAAGGCGACGCCGTCACCAAACCGGCCTGCAAGTCGACGATCAGTAAAATGTTTCAAAAATTCGCAGGAAGGCTGCTCACTCCGGCGCCAGCATCCTTGGAACCGTCAGGACCGATGTTGGCAAAGAGTCCCGTCTTAGCAATGGGGCCCTCGCTCGCGATGAACGAGTCGACCTGAGCGACGGCCGACGCGGCGAAGAAGGAAGCACCGATGACGAGCTGGAGGAGACGCATCTTGGGATGGTGCTGAGGATGTCTGCTCAAAACTGGAAGCCTTTTATACAGCTCTGACCAGCACCAATAAGCTCATTCGAACATCTGCGCCGGACGGCACAGGCATGTGCTGAAGTTCGCTTTGTCCGGTCGCGGATGCGGGATATTCGGCGGATATGTCAGATGACAGCAGCACGCATGCTACAATCATTTTGGGAAAAGGACCGATGAGAGCACGCCATAGCCCTCCGCAGGCTATAGGAAGTAGCATAACAAGCCAGACGTTCTTCGACAGCGATAGCCAGCTCATCGTTCGGAGTGAGCTGGTGGTGGTTTGCGCCAGTCTGGGGAAGGTGAGGAGAAGCGCCCGTCCGGGGTCCAATCCGCGGCGTGTACGCGACTTGCCTCTTCCTCTCACTTCGGTGGGCTATCTCGGGCGCGGCCACACATACCTCGCCCACTTCTCCGTCTTCTCCGACCACTCTGGGCGCCATCACGGTGCTCATCTTAGGACTAAGGCACGACTGCCCTAGCTCGTCGGAATTTGGCATTCGCATGACGCAGCCAAGTCGATTTCTTGCCTGATCCAACCTTTCGTTTATCGGATGTTGCTACCACAAACCAATCTGGGCTGCTGAGAAGCTTAAGCTGTGTGATATTCTCCCAGGGCCTCAGGATTTCTATGGCTTGTGACTTGTCGTGGTTCCGTTTTAGAGCCGACGTCCGTGTTCCCGGTCCTCGAGAAGCTCTGGCGCGTGCATCCACAGGACCCTGAAAGAGATGTCGTACTAAGCTGATTACCTTTGGCGGTTACCCAAAGTCTAGAATACTAGGAATACTCTCCTATGGCTGCCGTTTAAGGAAAGTGCGCCATGGTCAGCTGAGGTCGTACGACATATCATTGGCCAGGGCCGTCGCCCAGAAGCGCCCCTCGTCGTTGCCAACTTCGAGATTGAAGCACTGGAGCATGTTCCCAGATTAGACGGCAATATGTTTGTGTCTTTTATCTCCGCAATGCTCAAGTACAGGCGTTACAAACACGTAACGTTTTTCGGATCTCGTTCACATGTTTTCATCGTCGGTCGCTGGAAGTCCGGCGCTGCTCTAGCCATCGTTATACAAATATTCAGTGCCGAGCACTTCTGGTCCGACCTGTCGCAACGAATAAGGTCCACGCTGATCGACTATGCTGCGCTACTTATGACATTTGATCTTCTGTACTGTGGGCTGAGTTACGCAATGAGTTGCCGCTCTCGCCGGACCATCGAGTTGCCTCTTCGAGTAAACGAAGACGATTTTCTTGCGTTTTCCCTCGGCCGGGAGCGCTTCTTCACGTCCGACCTGGCCATCTTGCCGAGACCGATATGTGAGCTATAGGCCACGAACAGAAATACGTTGTAGAAGACATGGTTGGTGGCGCCGAGCATTTCTCGCGCAGTTTTGCTTGAGTGTGCGGATAGGACGGAGAAGTTCACTCTCGCGGTCCCTCACCTGTGCCTGCGACGGGTTTGAGAGCTCGGTCAATACGAAGCGCCGGTCGAGGGTGGGCCGCGCCATTTACTCATAGAATTGAGACATGTTTGCGTGCGGCGGTACGTATTATACTCGGTGAAGGTAGAGGTCAGTCAATTCCGCCGCCCATAAACCTGCTGACTTACGAACGTACCAGGCTAGGTACCCGATAATCTTGGTGGGGCGCTTTACGTGCGTCTCTATGATGAGTGCTCGAAAAACTCTACCGTGCTGGCCATGGATAGCAAGTGGCGTTGACCAGTGGGCGAAACGTTCGGAGCGAGATTCCAGTGATAGGCAAGAGCACATGCGACATTGACGCAACGCACCACCTGTTCTCACTACTTGAACCAACCGGGTTTGAGCGTGTACTCAAATGGACATAGTATCGCCGCGACGGCCTGCGACGATAGACAGCTCATGTCGCTGGGTCGTATCACGGATGCAACGTTCACGCCAGAAGATTTCTGGTCCACAAGGTTGCCGTACTTTCTCCAAGAGGTGATTGGGAGACAAGCCGAGTTTTGGGGCGCTGGCCAGTTCTTGCAGTACCAACGGAGGCCGCACAAGGGTGCATAGGTCGCGGAGGCGTCGTATCACCTTCAATGAAATCATCAGAGGGGCCTAGCGAAGGAGCTAGGTGTATCCTCCCTCTGAGAGGATACCATAACCCAGATTGCCCATGGTTGTCTGAGAAAGGACTTATACGTGGGTTCAGACGAGCTCGAGAAGTCGGAGCGTACCCACAGCAAGGGGAACGTAAGATCCCTTATCGACCGCACTGCCGATATATGTCTGTCATCTACGTCTTTCATTCTGCTGCTGCTTTCAGCGACACATCGTTACGCACTTGATTGCCCTCTACGCGCCCATGAACGAGCTCACTCGCCGATGTTCGCCAACTCTTGCAGACTTCTCCTTCTGCCCCACCTTTTCCCTTGCATGCTATGGTCCCACAGGTGCACGTCCTACGCCGCTAGTGAGGAGGTCAATGTGTTCAGACCGTCATCACCTGCCAATGCCAGTCGTCTATTCGCCACATGCAAAATATAACCGGATGGGGCCCGGCAAGCCGCCTTCGAGTATGAAATGAACACGTTCCGTGGATAAAGGTGCGCTCTCTCAACGCTGGTGCCGCCGTGGTCCTCAAGCTAGTCCCTCACGCCAAATGTAGGATTATCTCGATCGCGCGGTCGTATGATGATTCAACCGATCTAGGATGTTAAGCTAGTCAGTACAGACTCCCGTATTGGACTCTCTTATGAGCGTGCAGGACGCAGTAGACGGCACCCTCGTATGTTTACGTTACAGGTCCCCGGCGCTTGTGCTAGCTTTGACGAGCGCGATGACATCCACGCTCTACTCCCAACTCGACGACTCTCTGTCGTGTCTATGTGCCGGAAATCTTTCGACCACACTGGCTCTAGCCATCGTGTGAGGGTTCCGAAAGGGAGTGACGAGTGGTTCACCAGCTCGAGCACAATGAATGCGCATCGACTAGAGTTATAAACTCTTGCGTGTCCCAACCCAGTTGTGAGAGTAGGATAAGGGGTGGCATGTAGGCGGGTTCAAGGTAGCTATACACAAGAGATGCAGCGAGGCGGGTATGTGTCCGATATCAGCGGACGATGGCAAACATGTAGGAAGACGTTACGATGCAAGGCTCATAGGACAACATCGGGTCAAGAGCGACATGCGTACGCGAGATGCTTCTCGCTGTAGAAAAATCGAGAGGGTACAGAAAAGGGGGACACCGAGTCCCTGCAGGGCGAGAATATCGAAAGAGAGCCCCGGACATATTTGCCCGTCCGTCAGAAGGCTGGCGATTCAGCGAGGAAGGCCTGTACGTAGATGCTCATGATCAGCGACGACGACCATGCTTGAACAGAGCGGATGTACGAACCTTCTGCCTTTCTGACGCTGTATCCCGGCGGGTAAGCTCCGGAGGTGTAGAGCGCGCCCGCTGTAGAGCATCGGCGGGGAGCGTCAGCGACGACTTGAGGTCTAGAGGAGACACAGGGCTGAGCGCCTCGGCGACGGTCGCGGGCGCCTTATCGGCCGCGGTAACTCGTGGCACCGGAGCCGGCCTGAGAACAATAACGGCCGGGCGCGGCCGGAGCACGAGCGCTTCAGTTGCAGCTACATCACGAATCCCGCCCGCTGTAGACGCCCGTTAGTGATTCGAGCATGCTGCAAAGACTGCGAAGAGCTCACGCGGTAGAACCTCCTTCTCATCGTGTACGTAGGGGCAGTCGTCGCCCATGTTGCACGACCCATCAGCAAAGATCTGGCATGTCCGTAGTTGCCCGCCCATCTTCACGCCACCACCAATAACGCGCCATGTAATAGGATAAATCCCCCGCGCGCGCAGTTCTTCGATCTCCGACTTCGGACGCGGGGGTAGCAACGGCCGGACGGGAGAAGCAGGTGTCGGAGGGGAAGGTTTCGTGGTCGAGGCCAAAAGCGCAAGCTCGGATGGGGTTCGTACGCGTAGGTCCGCGTCCTCGTCATCGTGCCGACTATCAGCTGAAATCAGCGCAGGTAACGGACATAGGTAGGCGAGGGACCAACAATGTGCACTGATCTCCCTTCGGACAGTTCTGTTCCGCGATCCAGTACCTGCACGGTTTAGCTAACTCGACATCAGTACAAGGACCCCTGGTCGCGACGTGGACAGCGTACATCGGTAAGCCATGGCCTTCTTATGTGTGCTGCGCCGTGACAAAGGCGGGCGGTCGAGCTTTGGCGTAGCAGGTGCGGGCGGCAGTGGTGGGAAATAATCCATGTTCGGCGAGAACATGTATGGGTGGGCAGCGTTCGGCGAGAAGCCAGGCGGTGCGTGAGCAGACATGCCTTGCGGCATGGCCAGCTTCAATACGGAAGCAGATACTGGGTCATACGTATCGTGAGAAGGGTCAGAGCCATAGGCAGATTCAGTGTCAGATGAAGCGTTGCTGAGACTGGGTGCGTCGCTGGCCGCAGGAGATGTCGAAAGCGACAGAGGTAACTCAAGAGACGAAAACTCTGAGTGTGGGGTGATAGGCTGCGGCGTAGAGGCCAGTGCATACCAGGGGCGCTGCGAGGGAAGGTAGAGAGCCCCGAAGACGGGCACAACAGCGCTTGCAGGTGAGGCGTATGCATCTGCATGGCGCGGGTCAGTAATGTGGACTGCAGTATGGGCGGGCATCGAGCATGATTGTATGATAGGATCAGCTGTACACCACAGCACATGAGCCTCCATACTCGGTCCGAGCTCAGGCGCCTCATGTCGGCCTCGAGGCACTCGCTTGCGTACTCTGGCAAAGAGATAGTAAAGGCCTGCATTCCAATCGCTAGCCTCGAGGCAGAGCTTCCAGCACAAGCCGCACTCCATATCATCGATGATCGCCGGATGGAGTACTATGGCCAGTGATGCATGCGAATAACTCACAATGTTCGGAACTGGAACGATAGCGAGGATGTTCCTCGTTACCAACCCGGCGAGAAGACTGAGGACCTGCAGTATAGGGCGTTAGTACATTCAAGATACAACGTTGCACGACGAGAATGACCACCTTCCACGGCGTGGCTCCAACGACACTTGGTGCCATAGGCACAGTGACCCCGTAGAAAGTCATAGCAAGGCTTTTCATGGCGAGAGGTAGGCCGAATATGCAGGTTGGGGCAGTCACTCGCCGAGAGCGGGCACTGACCGTGTAGATAGGACAGGCATGCAGCTGTGAGGTAGGTATCAGGACATGTACCATCGTGTACGCTGACTTCGAGCACATACCAGATGAGACAGGATTTGTATTCAGTGACATGGCGCCCGACGAAAGAGAGGGAGAGGATGAGTCGTTCGAGCCGCAGACCATAGCGCGCTCGGTTTTAAAGCCTAATCGCGGCCTGTCAGCAACAGGACAGAACAGGGAGGAGCGGCGAGATGAAAAATCAGATCCGTCTGGTTCAGCGACAAGGAGACAAGGCCGGCATCACCAGATTCGCGTACCGTCCGAAACAAGACAGGCGGAAACAATAAAGCACGGCACGGTCGGCCGGGCGCAGTTCCCGGTCATACACGGCAGGTGCGCTGGATTGCAATACTGACTTTAATCTGCTCCTTTGGTGACGGAAGGGTGCTATGCAGATGGCGCGGGAGCGAGGTCCACCTCGACTTATAGCCATTGTTTAGAGGTTTAAGCTTTCATCAGCTTCCCTCGTTCGTGTCGCGTTCGCCCTTCTGTCCGTTCGCAGAACTACCGAGAAGCGCGATCGTGCTGATGAGGGCGTCTTCGCCCATTTTCTAGCCTTTCCACGGTACAAGCCACAGGCTGGATTGTATGGGATGCCTGCGGTGACGCACTGCTCCCAGCCCGCGCGAAACAATAGCGCGGGGTAAATGCACGCCCGGATGGCTAGTTGCACGCTTGTCGATGTCGTATCAGATGGGAAGGTGAGGAAGGGCGCCCCGGCCAATTGTTTCGCTCGCTCACAGGGACGAAGCAAGGAACGCGCCGCGAAGTTGCCACATAGCTCTATTATATCCGAGGAGCAATTTGGGTAGGAAGGTTCCCTGTGCTGCTTCTGCTGTCCATCGTACAGAGGCCTCGATCTTCGAGTGTATGCAAATAGCGCCTGTGTGTTCTCGGGTGCGTTTCATCGAAGTCACGGTCCAGTAGGTAGTCCGAAGTAAACCACAACGGTAAACTTTAGTCAACGCCGCGCATTCTGGGGCTCATCGCCGATGCCCTAGTGTACGCCTCTGGTTTTGCATACGCCCCCGGAACATCCTCGAGTGTGTGGCGACTGTCTTCCTGTAACTGGAGTACGCTACATGACATTAAGTCAGCGGAGGCCGAAGTGAGCAGATGCTCGACGTACCTCGCGGGGCCGGTGGCTCACAGTCGAAGAGAGAGATTGATGCTGAATGCGTCCGGATCCACCATCAAAAGCCTTCGCCGTGTAGGGAACTCCGCTCCTTGTTTCGCCCTGATGCATGGGGGCGACAGAAGTTGTGATAAATTCAGAGTCACGCCTGGATGCTGAGACTTGAGGCCTGAGGCCTGAGAAGTATGACCACGACTCTCAATCATGACTGTGTTGTCATGCACACATCGAGTATGTATGAAGGTACATGGAACCAGGTAAACTGCGTATCAATGTGTAACGATGGGGTGGGGGTTGGAAGCGTTATCCCAGCCGACGCGCCGAGGACAGTGGCAGCTGCAGCTAAGACATCTTACAGAGCGTTCCCGCCCATCGCTGCCGTTGTGTACCAGCACAGGGCCACTAGCTTTGAAGGGTCCAGTCGTAGATTATGGTAAGGAGCAACACGCGAGCGCGGGCGCTTCTCGCGCGCGGCGCAGCCGAGTCGCGCCGCCTCAATTTTCCCACCATTTTATTTCTCTCTTCACCACTCCCACCATGGCTCCTGTTCGAACTCATGATGCTGTCTCTACAGCTGACCCCAAATCAACCCACGAGCGTCCGCATAAACGCCGACGCGTGCAAACGGCCCAGTCGACCGAACCTTCTGCACCTGGCGTCTCGAAACTAAAAGCTTCACTGAGGCAAACGCGGAGACTACTCGCGAAGGTGCGTGCACTCATATGATGATGGTGTCCACTTTGTTGACACGCAGTCTACTCAGGACTTCCTGGCGGCAGATGTACGCGTTGACACAGAACGTCGGCTGCATGCACTCGAAGCCGAGTTGGCGGCGGCGGAACAGGCGAATAAAGAGCGTGCAATGGCTACCAAATACCATAGGATAAAATTCTTCGGTGTGTGGATACTCTATCCTGTCGCTATCTTATATGCTCATTGGATATCTGACGTATGAAGACCGCAAAAAGCTGCTTCGACGGGTGAAACAAGTCCAACGCCAGCTCGGCGCAGAAGAGCTTTCCAGCAAAGAACGCAAGAAACTTGAACGTACTCTCGGCGATCTCCGTGTCGACTTGAACTACGTCACTGTACGTGGTTCTACGTGTAAATAATGTCGTTTATACGCCTAACCAAACCTGACTCTAGCATTACCCAAAGGCCGAACGCTACATCTCTCTCTTCCCGCCAGAAGTACGACAACACGATCACGACAGCGAGGAGGCGCACACTGTCGAGCCTATCCATATGCACAAAGGCCAAGAACCTGAAAATGCCACGGATAAGCGGCGAGAAGAGCTTCGAGCGTGGATACGCGAGAGAATGGAGGCAGGAGAGTTTGCCCGAGAGCCCGAAGTTGGCGGAGACCCTGAACAGGATGAGGGTCGGAGGAGCATAGTATCGGCTCCTCAATTTGACAGTGGAAAGGCGGATACCGTTATGGAGGGTGGTGATGAAGAGCAGTCTGACGCTGCGCCGACGCGACCAAAGGCTAAGAAGATCAAGCGGAGAAAGAGTAAAGGCGAGGAACCAGACGGATCTTCTGCCAATCAAACAACAGAGACAAATCCTGCGAGGGAGGAGCATGCGCGGCCCACGATGAAGCATAAGAATGTGGGGACAAGGTCCAAGACACCCAGGACGGGCGAGGGAGCATCTGCGAAGATCGGTCTCGCAGGAGACGATTTCTTCGGCGATGATTAGTATCATGTCTGTCACATCATATCCTGTTTGTGGCTGCGCACGTCTACTACAAAGCTTGTACCCGCTTACTCGATATGGGCAGATTGCTGTGCATCGCCGTGGGTATTGATTGTGAGGCGTCATGATATAATACCCCCGCATCGCAAAACAAGTACTTGTCTCTCTGGATCTTCTCCTCCCAGCATCCTTCGTCATGTCACTGCCAGGTGCACAAGAACTATCTGGGTATGAGCTCTCGCAACGACCGACGATACGCGGACTCGCCACAGCAGTGATGAACACGTCGCCAGACGAACTAAGTTCACTCCGTCGTCGTGCCGTGACCGACAATAGCGACCCAGTCGAATATGAGCGCCAGCGTCAGAAGAAGAAGGAATACGCGAAGACATTCCGCGACAACGAAAAACATTATTTTGAGCAGCTCCGCGTTCGCCTATTCCCGGATGACCCAAACACGCGCCGTGCCGAGTGCCTTGAGCGCGCTGTCAGTGCTCTAGACGAATTGGAAGCCCGTAAAGCTCGTGCGGTCCAGCACGACGCTGAGATCGAGGAGTTGCGGACCCAGTTGGCGCACGCGCGTCGTGATGCGTGCCAGCGCGACGACGAGTTTGCACAGGCCACTACTCCGCCCAGATTTGGGGCATCAGAGGACTCCGAGCCGCAAGATATACTGGACACACAAGAGTATGTGACAATCTTTCTCCAACTTGGACGTAGCTGAGCGTGGACTTGCTGTAGCATTTCCATTGTGTGGTCACCGAATCAAGCACGTTACGGACCGTCCATGTCGCCGCATCTTGCTGGCTACTACACATTCGAAGACCATTCTACTTCCCCCAGTCCCTCTCAACTCGAGACTGGCGGTTCCCGCCCATTCCCGCATCAGGACTGTGAACACGCAGGGTCCTCAGGACTAGCGCATAGCGTTGCTGAATGCCCATGTCAGCGTCAAGCTTCGAGGTCCAAGCTCGTGTGGCTTTTCAACCAGTTCACTTATTATGAGCAGCTACGCTCTGTGCAATCGGACGGAACCTTTGAGCTCGTACGCACCGTGATACTTTGCGAATGGAAACACGCGGGTACCTTTGTGAGTTATTTGCTTTTATCTGATCTCTGACTCTGCAGTGCTAAACCCCACCCGCAGCTTATCGCCGTTGCAGCGTGAGCCTATCACTGTGCTACGTGAGACCGCGTCGACTCATGTCATGACAGGGTCGACGCAACAGTGTACGGATACGCTCAAACAGGGACCGCATTCGTAGTGGAGAAATTGGCTTTACGCTTTCTGACGATCTCCGCCATATTGACCGCCTTGGGTCTGAGTATTGATGCTGTCTTCATACTGCGTTACTTGAATGCGGATGCAGAGAGCTTTGCGGTATGTCATAACTCATCTCTAGTGCTCCCTTCAGCTCTAATTATATGGCAGAAACGAGCATACAGCGAGCGACTTGGGTACTTCTTTTTTGCCATTCACTCCCGGGTTCCATTCGTGGCTTTATGCATATCCTTGATCGCCCTGTCTATGTTCATGTTGGCTGTTGCGTATACTGCTTGGCCAGCAGTGGTCGTCGTCCTGAGCTCACTGGTTTCTCTCCTTCTCCTCATAGACTACATCGTGTGGTTCATCGTGCAGCTTGGTTCAGTGATCGTCAAAGCTAGAACTGTGGTAGTTGAAGCTGCACGCGACGTATGGGCTTCTGCGAAGCTGCTTATTGTACGACCATAAGTAGGCTGTATTCTGTATACATAATAATTTCAGGATATGAATAGTTGTCTCTCAACCGGCAAAGTCCAGCCAAGCACCGCATTGGGCATGCCTCGGGAATATCTTCTGTGCATTGCCAGCACATTGGGTTAGGATTTGAGATGCTGCGTCCGCACAGTTAGACAAGCATAAGAGCCATAGTCGGGCATTCGAGGTCTAGGATACTATTAGCACCAGGAGGGTTCCGATCCAAGTGCAGAGCATGCAAGATATGCGTGCTACAGCTCGTGGCGCGTGTCTGAATCACGACTGTCTGAGCGGGCTGACGCGACCCTGCCACAAGCGATCCCGTCAAGGCCCCTTCGCAACAAGTGGTATGACATGATAAATACAATAGCTACACGTTACAAACATACATGCCGGCAAACGTTCTCTATAGTTTGTTATCTATATCTTCAAGCCTTCATCGCCCCAACACCCTTCCAGTAGGACACATACTCCTCCAGATGACGTCTGCCGATAGGTCTGGATGTAGCCAGAGCCGGAGACGCGATGCAAGTCTTCTCAGTGCCGAGGATCACGGTACCGGAGGCCATACGCAGGAAATCGCGCTCGAGGAATTCGATGACCTTAGCTGCGGGGTTCTCCTGCGGGTCGGCGCCCAACGCACGGACACGCTCGAGCCACTCAGCAAACGGCACGGAAGGCACACCTCCGAGCAGCTCGGAGAGGTCCTGTAGAACGCTCGACCATTCTTGGCGTGCGGGGTTCTCCAGGTGATATATGGGAGCGAAGTCCTCGGTAAAGAGGCATTCGGCGACGACGGATGCTGCCCGGTTCACGGGCATCCACGACAACGTCTATTACACATTTGAGCTGCGCACTAATGATCGAGACACGAAAGACGTACACCGTTTATCTCCGGGATTGCCTGCAGCTTCTGGCAAGTAGCGACGATGATAGGGAAATGTTCACTGGCGTTCCATGCACCCGAGCCCTCCGCTCCCGTCATCTGCCCGATGCGCACGCTCGCAGCTTGGATGAGGGGCTGCTCGCCACCAAAAAGGCGATTGGCCTCCAGAGCAACTTGTTCGCAGACCCACTTCGCCTCGGGATAACCAAACTCTGCCGTCGCACGTGGGTCAAGCGGTGCTTCGGGAACAACACTGTTGTCCGGGTTGATAATGGGGTAACGGCCGGCGACAGCGATCGAGGAAGCGAAAAGAATGCGTCGCGGGCGGTGATCATGAGCGTTGCGAGCACCGCTGAGCAAAGCGAGTTGCACGAGGTTATCAAGCGTTCTGATAGAGGCCTCAAACGAGGCGAGAGTGCGGTCGAAGTTAACGGGCCAGGCATTGTGTATTATGTGAGTGATGGAGAGGAGCTGCGGAGAAGTCAGTTCATGTTCGAACAAACCTGTGCTCAGCGAGACGCGTACTTCATCATATCTTTCCGCTGAGATACCGAGGTATGGCTTGCTGGTGTCGCAGCCGATGACGGTGATCTTATCCTTCCATACTTCATCTCCGAGTACGACACAGCGCTCCTTCATGGCGTCCATCTGCCGCTGGCGTGCCGCGAGCGCCCCGCGGTTGAGACAGATGATCTTGGTCACAGCGGGATCGGCGGCTAAACGGCCAAGGAGTTGACAGCCGAGACTACCCGAAGCCCCGGTGAGGAGCACGATGCAATCATCGCGGTGCTTTGGCGTGGTCTGAGCGCGAGCCGAACGAGCATCCAAGGCATCATCGGCGAATGAGCAGAGCTGGCTCGTATGTTTCTTGACGGCGGCGTGCATCGCCTCAAGGCGCGCCGCTTCGCGGTTCTGTGCGGAGGGGGTATCCAGTCCGTCCATGACGTTCTGCACTGCCGCAAGAAGGCTGTTCACGGATGGGTTCTGGAACACAAAGTCTCGCTGAAGATCGGCGACAGGATGAGCAAGACCGGGTGTGACGCGCAACCCGCTGACGAGAGTTTGCCGTATCCGTGTGGCTTGAAGACTGTCCATACCCGCCTCGAAGAAGTCCGCTGCATCGTCAAGTTCGTCAAGGCTCTCGAGACCTAATGCCTTGCCGACGATGTCGCGCAAGGCGTGTCTGAGCGCCGAAGGATCGTCGCGCGAAGGAAGTGGTACGGCGCTGGCAGCTTCGGCGTACGCGTACGCGTTCTTGATTTCCTCGTCAAACGCTGCGAAGATGGCCTTGCGGGATAACGATCCCTTGTCCGTGCGTTGAAGAGGTCTCGTATCGGCGTAGGTAAGCACGAGCATGTCGCGCGAAACCTTGGCGTGCTTGTCCATGAGGGCGTTACCACGCTCCAGATACGGGTCGAGAGTGGTAAGCACATCTTCGCGGGGTACCCCGACGTCGCCGCCGGCGAGCTCGACGATGAGACCCAACGATGCCATGCCATCACCAAAAGCAAGCGCGCCCCGCACGTTGGGATGCTCCGCGACAGCTGTCTCAATGCCCGTGGGGCGAACCTTCTCGCCGGTCCCAAGGACAATGAGGTCGTCAACGCGGCCAAGGATCTTGTATTGTGAAGTGTCGTGGGGATGCCGTTCAAGCAGATCTTGTACGACGAAGTCTTTGTCCCAGCCCGCAGGGCGGGCGGTCAACTGGAAGTGACGGTCTGTTTCGTCCACTGGGTGGAACAAAAGACCGATGTCCTCTCGCGGCTTCAAGTAATGAACGTCGTAACCATCAGGTGGGAGTTCGATCGGAGCGATGGCGCCTATTTCAGTGGCACCTGCGCGACCCGTAAGGACCTGTATTATGCAATGCTTCGGACAAAACCACTCACCCCAGTGATTGAGGAGCTTGATGCCATGAGAGACTAGTTTCTCAGCGACCGCGGAGCCCATGGCGGCGCCACCGACCGCAACAAAGTCGAGTCGCTGGAGGGCCTGAATGCCCTGTTCGCCCTCGCCCACGATATCTTCGATGATGGATGGGACCGTGAGCAAGGAACGTACATCGAAAGACGTGAGTTGCTTCAACGTGGAACGCGCCGTGGGGATTGTCGATGCGGCTGGCAAGATGAAAGGCAATCCGATCGACAATGCAAGACAAGGCGCAAGAAGGCCAAATCCCTGTCATGCTATTAGAGCCCGTTGCCAGACATTGCCAGAGATCCAAAGATAGGCGCTTACGTGGTAAAGAGGTAGAGTGGATGCATTCCACTGAAAAGGTGCTTTGTCCTCGGGGAGTCGATGACAAGCGGCGTATATAAGCCCATACACTTGAGCGTGATAGATGGGCTTGGGAAGACCAGTAGTGCCACTTGAGTGCATGATAAATGCGTCACGGTCGTTATAGTGGAAGTCGCGATAGGTGGAAGGGATGCTAAGATCTTGAAGTTCGGCATGCGCGCCATCGAGGAAATCATCCACAGTAAGCGCCTGGACGAAGCCCGGTTTATTGGAAACGTCCTCGAGTAGCGCGAGAGACTCCTTCACGGAGCGCGCAACGTGAGGCGAAGTCAAAACTGTCGACGGCGAAGTTGCCTTGAGGAGGTGGACGATTGCGACCGGAGTTAAGCGAGCGGATAAGAGTAGCACCTGTCCGCGATGGTCTTGTCAGCGATAATCTTGGCTATGCGCCCGCAACTTACCGGAGTACCGATGCGGAGTAGCGCACACATGTAGATGAAGATGCCGATGTCGCTCCCAAGCAAGATGGCAACAGGCGCCACTTTATCCGAGCGCAAGGAGCGGCCTGTCGTTACACAGGATTTGACGAGCCATCCAGCAGCACGCTCGACAGCCGAAGAGAGCTCTGCAAAAGTGATTTGACGCGCTAGAGATGTCTCTCCAGAGCGCAGCTGAAGGCCAAAGACGTGATCTGGGTTCTGCTTTGCGTTGAACGCGACGAGCTCTGGGAGGGAGTTGATGCCCTCCGGCACATCGGGCTCGAAGCCAAGGTTCAGGTGAGCGCGGAAAAAGGTATTGCGGCCCTCAGACATGGCAGGTTTTGCGCGAAGAGTAGTTCGATAGCAGAGGGGGACTACCCTTGAAGTACTCCTTCAATGGGATCCCGGGAGTCCATCTCGGACTTTCGCTATGGCACCGTGGCAATTGTCGTGCCGTCCGAGCATCTCCGGGCGGTACAGCGGTACTGATAGTGATCCTCATACCCGTCCCCAGTACACCTTCGACGTCAACAGGACGGTGGGGTAGTGTATGAAGCGCGAGAGCGTGGGATTGCGGATACTCAACGTCGGAACTGGACGCCGATGTTGTGGGCAAGTTAGTGAACGGTGTTGCCCATAACGCGCTTTCGCCTTCCCAGGCTTGGTTATGACGCTCATCAACAGTAGCGCCCTCGTATGCACCCTTCGATTGCATTCAGCCACCGTTCACTTGATGTCTGCGACTGAGTACCCGCTGGCCCTTTAACATGATACCAGACCTACCCGCCATCTGCCGCTGGACCGGTCATCATCCAGACTGCCCCACGCCTCCTTCAACACCGACTTCTTCGGGTCGCCGGGACATATGCGACACCCGCACCATGATGTAGACTCGGACTTCCTCCCGGCTCTCTGACCACCATATCCTACCCCTTGGACTTTTGACGTGGATACTTCGCTCGATATAACTGCTGGCCGAGGTACCTATGTACTCGGTCCCGAGCTACTCGCCGAGTCCTCTTCTTACCAACATGTCTTTTGTGGAAATTCACGATGTTCTCATCGTCGGCGCCGGTAGGTCACTCATGCTGATGTCTCCGCACACGCGCTCACTTTTGACACCCAGGGCCGGCCGGCTTGATGTCCGCCACCGTGCTTTGTAGGATGGGTGTAAAGCCGATGGTAGTAGATGCTACCGATTACGCAGATCACCAGTATGGGCGCTCAGACGCTCTTCATTGTCGGGCGATGGAGGTCATGGAGGTAAGTGTCAGCACCCGGTAGCACGCCGATATGTCTAATTTCCCAAACAGAGTCTCGGTCTCCCTATGGATCAGATTAGGCACATGGGGAGAAAGCTCTACGGACGCTCGTTCTGGGAAAACTCGGGGAATGCATCGAAACGCACCGCTTTCGCGCGTTTCTATCCTACCTTTCTCGATCTCAACGAGGACTACGCGCTTTGTCTTCGACAGGGTCTTATCGAACAAGTCCTTCTGCAAGATGCCCAGCGCCATGAGGATGGGTTGGATGTACAATGGGGCTGGCGCTTCCTGTCGATGGAGCTGGCTGTTGGACCAGATGGCTCTACCAAGGTTCTCCTGGAGAACTCACAGACACATGAACAACGTACTGTCTTCGCGCGATATGTTCTAGCTTGCGATGGTGGCAAGTCTCAAGTGCGTCGCTGGGCTGCGCCGCTCGGCGTCTCATTGAAGGGAGAAGCCCTCTCGGTGACCTGGTAAGTTTTCATCACACCAGCGCGCGCCTTCTAAAGTGCTTCAGGTGTGTCTTGGACGCAGTCGGCATAAATAGCGACTTTCCTGATCTTGAACGCCTCTCGTGGGTCTATCCTTTCAGTACAGCATAACCACAGAAGAATCTAACCCATAGCGCAGAGTCATCCGCTCCGATAAAGGCATCGTACTCATCATACCCCGCGAGCCTATCAATGGCAAGCCTGCCGCGCGTTTCGACATACAGCTAGAGAAATCCCGCGACGAAGTCGGCGCTGAGGACATCACTCATATGATTAAGGAGATCTTTAAGCCCTTTCGGCTCGACTGGGACGAGGTGAACTGGTGGTCGTCCTATGACGGTGAGCGCCACGTGCTCTCGGTCTCCCGCGCATCTCATCGTCATTCAGTCGGCCAGCGGTTGATCAATCAGTATGATGTGGACAACAAGGTCTTCTTCATCGGAGATGCCTGTCATACTCATAGCCCTCGCGGTACGTGTCATACACGCGTCGAACTTTGATAGATGTACCAACTCCAGTGCATCAGCGGGTCTTGGGCTCAATACCGCTCTCTTAGAGGCTCACAATCTAGGCTGGAAGCTGGCTTTGGTGCTAAAGAAGCTTGCTGGACAGGAACTGCTTGCTACATATGCCTCTGAACGGTATGCCGTCGCGGAATATCTGGTGAACATGGATAGGGAGCTGGTCGGGTTGTACGCGGGGCTTGAAAATCAAAACATGAAGGATTTTTCCTCGCGCGACGTGGGTGAATGGCTCGAACGACTCCGTCTATTCCAGACTGCCAATTTTTCGGTATGCGTTTCCTTCATCGGACCCTGAAGAAGTTGCTAACACCTTCCAGTATCAAGCCGGTGCTTCGATAGTTTACGAACCGAGTGTTATCGTGCGCACTGCATCCGGAAAGGTCGATCCGCTCGAAGTCGGCAAGCCTGGGATACCTGCAGGCTCGCGGACGCGCCCAGCAAGGGTCACTCGTCTCTCGGACTCCAATCCTGTCAACGCACAGCCAGCCTTTGACGGCCGCTTTGCTATATACGTGATGGCAGGGAACCTCGAGGTCCCCACTACGCTCGACAAGCTCAAGGAGCTCGATACATACCTGCGCACGTCCGGGTCTATCTTTGCGCGCTACGGCCAGGATGTTGACGTGCACGCGAAGCCCATCTCACGGCGTATGCCTAGCCTTGCAGCTCCGGTAATTCATGCATACAAACTTCTTTCAGGGTCCGATGCTGATTCTGATTGCCTGAAGCAGGGTAAAGAGGCGCCCGAGATACCGACGGGACGTGCCCTCTACACCTACAGTTACGACGATATACCGCAGATCACCGACGGCTTTTGCGCTCCGCCTCACTCTCTTTTTCGCATGAGTGTGGTGACCACCACGTCATCGAGCGAGCGTGTCATCTTAGACGGCGTCATGGCTTTGGCGTATCCTCGTGCGGGTACGCCTGAAGCGCAGCAACCGTCGCGCATCTTCAATCCGTCCCATCTATTCTGCGATGACATCCCGGCTCTTTCTCCCTTCCGTTCTACGGCACCCGAAGTAGGGGATATACTTGAGCATCCGATGCATGCCAAGTGGGCGGTAGATGAGAAGGAGGGAGCAATAATCGTCGCCCGCCCAGACGGTCATGTCGGTATGCGTGTCGAAGGTTTTGGGGAAGCGCAGTGGGCGGAGATTGAGAAGTACTTCGACGAGTTTCTCCAGTGATGTAGGTCAAATCTTTCCTTCTCGGTGTTCAAGCCGTGGCAGTACATGGCCGTTGTTCAATAGACAATGAAATCATTCTTCTCTTTCTCGTCAGATAAGGTGGGGTCTCGACTATCTCGCGACATGGCGACGTCCGATTCGTCCTGAAAGTCTCCTGCATGTGATCGAGCGAAATAGTCAATAGGACGCTCAGGCGGCCGGTAGAACGCCGAACAAGAGAGACTGTAGGGTTGATTGAGTGTTGGAATACTGATATGTAGCAGGACCACGCATGGGCACCGCTTCAACTACGTCAAGACTCGCACGGGCGGCCTCGGTCTATACAAAGCTCCGAAACTCAAACACCGTCGAGCCATAGAGACGCCCAGAGACCTGATGTGCGCACAGCAGGGTCGTCTCTAGCACATCAGGACATGAGTCAAAGCCTGTCCTATCAGTATTAACACCGATGAACTTGCCAGAAAAGGGTTGGAGCTCAGCGCTCAGCGCCCACAGTTCGTACATATCGGATGAGCTGTTCCTCTACAGTACGAAATAGTACGAATAAATATGGTATGCTGCACTATGATCTGTTAGACATGGAGGATGTTGCTCTAGCGACGCGGGGATGAAAGAACTCGACGTATGGTGGTGGGAATTCCGCGCTGTTAATGCGCAGTTTCTCCCTCTCCATATGTTGACACGCTACCTTGGGAGCGTATTCAAGCTTATGGCATTCATACCCTGCTAAAGGTCTGGCGGCGAAGTGCGCCCGCCGGGTAAACGTTTGCGCGTCAATCACGGCGAGCAGACCATGACTGTCAATCTTCGCGCTTCTGCCACGAACGGCCATGTATGTATTCGGGATTTCCCTCCGCGCTGATTGCCTTCGACCAAAGATCGACGGCTAAATCGCATGGGACATAGCGACACGACGAATACTGCTGATACCAACACACGCGTCGATTGACATGTTTCTGCGACACCATCTGGAGCGACATCTCTGACGGGCGTGGATTCCAGGAGTATAGAGCCACCCATTCCTTCGAGCCTCGAGCGCTAAGGGTCGGTATTGTTCCATGGAGCAACTGAGATAGCTCGGCATCTTACTGCATTGCATTGCAGTCTTGGTGACTTATCAGAACTTCTTCCACGCGTTGGTATGAGAGACACCCGTCCGTTACCCCTTTTTTAGCTAACTAGCAACGTCCCAGTGATCGTTGAAACGCTGCTAGTTAGCTAAACCC